GTGCCATCTTTTGAATAACATCTCAGGTTTTTAATATAACATTATTTTAGGATTACTCTGAAATTATTGTCCCATTTGCTCCAGCCTATTTATAGCTGTACAATAATCCCCTGTTTTACAGCATATAAAAATATACATTTCTGAAAAAGCAACAGTGTAAACCGTGCAGTCCAGAAGACGGTGAGGAGATGAGTGACGAAAACAACAGTTTGTCCATCTGATGTTATTGGTCAGTAACTTGATGTCACGTAGGCTTTGACTGTGCGTCCAGCTTCTGAAGATTTCAAGCTCTAGCCAGTAATGTTCGTGTTAAGAAACTCCGATGGGCACTTTTCAAATGTTTTAGAGTTCAGGTTTGGTATCCAAAATATTTGAACCCCATGAGATTGCAAAACTTGGCTGGGAACCTCGCAAGAGCAGGGCTTTCTTGTGAGATTTCCATCTCTTCTGCTTCTCATCTTGGCTTGAAATACCATGAGAATAAATGTTTTCATGGCGTATTTCAACACTTGCTGGTTTCAAATCCTGGACTTTATTTCAAAATCTTTGGAAAGGTTCAGTTCAGTTCTAAAGGGTGGTTTAACGACAAATGGGCTAGTGTCACAAATTTGGGGTCCAGGCCTATATACCATTTGAGAGTCAGAGAGGTTCAGATCCAGGGTTTTGATCTGATCCCATCTCTAATTTAAACTATTTAAGACATTCTCCAGTTTTCTTATAAAACATTCATATGGGAGAACTGAACAAATGGCTGTGTTTAATTAGTCCAATCAACTAAACTCGTTGCCTCACTCCCTCAGTGCAAAGAAAGCTACGAAGTGTCATTTACTGACCTGCAGAATACAATGAAGCTTTGATGAATTGGAAAAACCTCAGCACTGCCCTTCTTATAATTTAATTTAGCTCTCATGCTGGACAGCTCAAGTGTACTGTCAACCTCTATTTATAGGTAGCATCTTTATAGGTGGAAAGAGAAATGAATTAATGTCAGCAAGATTAGCAATTATACCACTACTAAATAGTATGCTTGAAGCGCTAAATAGCAGCAGTAATTATGTCACGGACTCTAGATCACCCTTTCCCAAAACAAGTCGTATTCCCAGAGAGTATCCCAATTGTGCTATAACATACAGGATAGTGTGTATTTGTACCACTATCCTCTACTGGAGAGAATATGAAGCTTGCTCAGTTGGGGTCAACAGGGCCTCACACAGCTGGTCCTCAGAGGATATGAGCCCTAACGCTGCTAGGTTAACAGAATTTCTACCTAAACTCAGCTGGTAATAAGAGGCCTGTCCTTAATCTGCAGCAACATTCTATCACCATTGGCAGGCTGGCAGGCAGCCCCCTGGGAGGGTTAGATGGGTGCCCAAAACATTGTGACAGTGATCAATCTAAAGGACTACCGCTCAGAGGCCTGAAGGTTGAAAAGCAATGGTATTGGGTGGTGCAAATTAGAGGCAAGAAAGGGAATCTCAGCAGCAGCCTAATGAAGATCCCTTTAAGTTTCACTGGGTGCATGGTTGGCTGTTTGGTCATTTACCTGGAGAACTTTGGCTCCCCATTATGATCAGTGATTCTAGTAATGAGGACAGCCATTAATCACTTGATCCTGCAGCCCTTTAGCCCCGTTAATTTTACTGGGATTATCAAGTGAGTAATGATTACATTACAGGAAGTGTTCATGGATTAGCCCTTTTCTTGGTTTACTCTATTCCTTTTTTTGGAAATTTGACTTCCATCCAGAAGTGACCTGTCTATTTGTATGCCATCTGTAACATCTCAGGTTCGGAATATGTGATTGTTTTTGGAAATCTTTTGGAAGGTTCCTCTGTTCCTACAGGGATTTGTATGCCATCTGTAACATCTCAGGTTTGGAATATGTGATTGTTTTTGGAAATCTTTTGGAAGGTTCCCCTGTTCCTACAGGGATTTGGACCACATGCCACTGCAAATTGCTTCTCCCCTGCTTATGTCAGAAACCTGTACACAACTCATGTTCCCGACATATCATACAGAGGGAACAAGCACATTGGTAGGCCTATGTTTTGCCTCTTGCCTAGCTGCTTAAGAAAATCTGCAAACTGTTTTAAGATGAGGAGCGAAGCAGAATCTACACTCCTCGGGATCACCCCTAGTAGGTCAACTGCCACCTTGCAAATTTGCTGTGAACACACTGTATTCTTTCAGCACCTGTAAACTCACACAAAACACTTATTTGAGGCAATGGCAGTTGAGAGAAAAATGACATTGGCCCCATAGAGGGCCCAAAGTGCTCTTGATTGTTGTAGAGGAAAGAAAATGCCAGCTTCTCAAGATGGTTCATGCCTCTCCACTTTTGTGAAATCTTTGAAACACACTGGCATTATCTGAACTGATACCAGCAATTTGATCCGCAAACAAGCACATTCCCCTTCCCTCCCTCCCCCCGCCTTCCTTTTACAGGTTTCACTTTGATCCCTTTGAGATCGGTAGCAAGGATCTTGCCTCAATGGGATTGGGCACTTTGTACTGTGTTAACAACTGTGAGTTCAGTAATCTTAAACAACGATTTTAATGCATTCAGAGTCGAGCAGAGTAAAAATTTAAGTTGGACAATTTTGCCTCTGTTTGTGAATTGTCTGCAAATTTTCTTGAATTCATCATTCAAAATGACTTCATTTGGGCAAATAATTCATGGCTTCTAGATTGTTTGTGAGCAAGTTTGTTGTGAGGACAGTTGGAATCTGATCTCTGGTGGTCGGACATCAAAGGCCAGATTTAGGTGCCTAAATATGCAGATAGGCCCCTACTAGATTTTACAGAAGTGCCTGAGCTGATTAGGTACCTAAAGTCAATGGGAGTTAAGCATCTAACTCACTTAGGCATTTTTGTAACTCCAATTAGGTGCCAATCTGCATCTTTCGGTGCCTAAATACCTTTGTGAACTTGCCCCCAAGGTGTGATGATGGTTTGATTGGGAGTTTATTGAACAGAAAATGGTATTCCTATTTAGCTGTTTTTACTGCTTGTTTACTTTGGGCTCGATTCTCATTTACACTAGGACTGCTTTATACCACTCTGGCTGTGTAAAGGAGCCTCAGTGTGGGTGCAAATTACATTTACACTCACCTCAAGGCTGCTTTACGCTGCCAGACCTATGTGAAGCGACCCTGTAAATTCTAGTTTTGCAAAGTCTCCAAGACAATTTGTAAGGACCCAATGGTGATGCGTGGGTTCTCAGAAGCTAACAAGTGTCTTAGGGATGCATAAATGAAAGACATGGGGGGAGATCAAACACTGCCAAATGCAGGAGTTATTATTGAATGAGAGATGAATGAATAATGATTCCTCATCAATATTATTTGGTGCCTTTTCAAAGCCCTGCCCTGCAAAATTCCAAATGTCCTCTCAATGTGCTGGACACCTATAATTCCCATTCAAATCAATAGGCATTCAGTGCCTCACAGTAACTGGCTCTTCCATACTGGGAAAGACGTCAATGCTTCATGCCAAGGAAGCTGCGTTATTACTTGGCAGGCTCAGTGGGTAATTATGTTATGAGCTGCTTATTTCTGATATTGTGCAAATAATTCCTCCCACCGTTTCTTTCAACTCCTGAATTGCTTATTTGTTTGAATAGCTACGGGAAAATATAACAGGCTCCCAAATGCTTTTTTCACCCACATCTACAAGGGAGGGCCCATTCTCATTGGGGTACATCCTTAACTCATTTGTGCATGTAACTCCCATTGATTTGAATAGGAATGAACAGCCTAGTGCTCAGAGCCGTGTGAGAGGCTCAGTACATTGCAGAGAAGGCATCAAGAAGAGAATGCAGTACAAATACACAGCAGGGCAGCCTGACATCTGCGAGTCTTGTGCTACATCATAGGAAGATTTTGTGGCTCTGGCAAGAAGCTGGAGCAGGAAGTGCTGAACTTTTAAATGGCCCCCCCTGGACCTTATAGAGACTGGAAAATATGACTGAGTACAAAGGTCTCCCGGAAACCACATGATACACACATCTTGCCTGGTTTCGAGTTTTGGTTTAAAAGCATTAAGGTTCAGAAACATTTTGAATGAGTCTGGGATGACCAGTGTGTTTAAAAAAGAAAAGAACATTGTGGCAAGTTTCTGAAACGAGGTGAAATTCACCCCCTTTCATCAAGTGTTTCCTTGAGATGGAATTTACTAGACTCCAAAACACAAAGCAGAAGGGAATATCCTCACCAAGCCCTGAAAGCTGAACCCACTGAACTTCAGACAGCTTTGGGGTCAGGGGACTTCTGCAAGTCACAGAGGGCCAGATCCCCAGCTGGTGTAGATCAACATAGTTTCATTGGCACTGAAGTCAACAGAACTACATTGATCTGCACCAACTATGGATCTGACCCAATGTGTTGTCAACTCCCTATTTGCGTCAGCAGGAATCTAGGGTGCTCACTGCCTCTAAGGACTGGACCATAACTGAGCAGCAGAGGTGATTGGAAGTTGAAAAGTCTTCATGTCAGAACTCCCTTAACTGAGACCATTCAGAGATACAAAACATTGCAATGAATGCTTTCTTTCCCCCTTTCCCTTAACTTCTGTTGCTGTTGGGTCAACAGGTCCAACCTTAAAAAAAAAAAAAGTTTATATCATGAAGTGGCTCTAAAGTTAGAGCTCTCCGAATGTACCCATGCTGAAACCATCATGGTATATTTATAATTCTCTCTCGCAAGATGCATTAGATGTTCTTGTCCCCCTCCCTCCACCCGATTGCACTTCAAAATCAGAATCGCTGGAGCTTTAAAAAGAAGAGACAGTGAAAATCAAGGCCTTTAAACAGTAGGGAAATGATGTTACAGTCATTTCAAGGAGCCGGTGCTTAAAGGTGCTTCGGGGCTTCAATGCCCATTAAAATAAATGGAAAGATTCCCATTGACTTCAATGGGCTTTGGATCAAGTCCACAACTCTCAATGACTTCAGTTCTAAAAAGCTTTGACCCACACTGTGTTACGACGTGCTACTCCTTTGATTCAGGCCACTCCCCCTACTTCAGCATCCATCCCTACTTCCCATTAAGAAGAACAACTTCCTGCTCACAGAACTATGCCAGCAGAGCAGGGTTGCCAGAGCTGAACAGTTGCATGTAAAGATTCCCCTCCTCCTCCCCAGTCCCATTAGAGATCTCGATCCCTTAGACATCCTCCCCGTTTTCACTGAGGGAGATAGTGTGTATTTTAATGGTTGGCACTTTACGGTTCTCCCGAGCGACGCTCCTTGATGTGCCAGTACAGCAGCATGTCCTGAGGAAACCTTTGCTCTTCACTTTGGCTCTGGCGCAGCTGGACTTGTCTTTAGAGATTGCACTTTTTGTAGACATGCTTTGCATGGTGGAGAAAATCTTCCACTCGCAGACCCCATTGGACTTGGAAATCCTATAGAAGGTTTCCCCCGATCCTACAGGGATACGGACAACATCCTTGGCACCGTCCATACTGGGGCTAGCTGGCTGGTTCAGATTGAAGCTAAGGGAATGCTTGTTGGCTGCTTGCTTTCTTGTGAAACACTGGGCTCGTAGGACATTTTGGAATGCTTTTTTAAACTCTTGACTCGAGCACGGGTAGATGATCGGGTTGATGCAGCTGTTCAAATACCCAAGCCAAAACGTTATTTTAAAAACTGTGTCTGAGGGCTTGAGTGCAGGAAAGAAAACGCCTGGAATGGAAAATACAGGGAGTGTTAAGACAAAACTGGCGAGAAATTGCAGATAGTCAAAGTGTAAGAGAGATAACAATGAAAACAACAACGTTCATGATTTTTGGATGCTCCAACAACAGACTCATTCCTCCTGGGGAAGAGAACATTTCAGAATTTATGGTGCTCTACAATTACATAGACGATATGTAATAACTGTTCCAGGGGAACCTATCTGTTCAGTTACAAATGCAGCAGTAATTTCATATTTTAGGTTCTACAGAGTCCATAGTTTGGTGAAATGAGGTGACAAAGGGAAATTACTTCCTCCCAGGAGCTAAAGCACCAGACTGCTCAGATAAGCAAGGAGACAACTTAACAGGATTTGAAATGGCCAGGGAATCACCACCTCTGGGATCCCAGCTAATGGAAAGCCCAATGATCCCTTTCAGACAGGAATTTTTAAAGGATCCTAATGGACCTGGATGCCTCCCTCACTTAGGATCCTTCAAAAATCCCAGCCTACAGATTTTTATGCGTCATGCGCCTAATCCAAAATTCATAAAAGCCAATGGAAAGGCTCTCATTGATTGCAATGAGCATGGATCAGGCCCGTGAGCAATTGCTGTATAAACCGTAGGAGTTTCAAAATGTCTTTACTATCCTGCAGTGAGAGTGCTTAGCAGTGGTTAACTGAAGTTGCTAGAATTTGTAAGGATGTTTCGCATGGAGCTAATTAAAAAGGGAAGGGAAAGGTGGCTCAAAGCCAAAACGGGCTGATGCTTTGTTCAACTGTAGTCAGCTACAGGGAACACTGATTGTCAGTGAAAAGGCCGTACAGGTATCCTTTTTTAAGGGATCACATGACCAGTCTCCCTCTGCTTAATAACATTGGGCTCCAGCTTGCCTGCAACATGAGCAAATGTACAGATATGTGTGCAAGACTTAAAAATCTCCCTCCTTGGTTAACGCTCTGATAAAAAAAAATGCAATTGTTCAATTAATGTATTGATTTTTAAGAAAACCTTCTCCTGTCAAAGAAAGCAGCCAGCCATTCAGGGCACGCTCTGTCCCCACAGATTTACAAAAGCCACAAAGCATGCCAGCAGTTTGTTTTTGACTAATAGTACAGGACATCTATTGTAATGAACTGGCTTCGATGGATACCTACCCCTGCCATTTTCCAGGCTGGAACGTGTATCATAAACCCTGTACTACAAACACCTACTAAATATTTTGTTAGCTTAAGTGCCGGGGTTGTGTGGTCTATCCCAGCTGTTGCAATGAGGCTCTGAATGGTGATGGAGGAGGACAGTTGTGTAGTCTCTAAATGACCAGGGAGTTATGCTATTTTCACTGCATTTCACGACATTCTTTGATACTCGAGTCTTTGGCAAAGGCAGTCTTTTCACCTTCTTGTAAAAGGATACAACGAGCAACTATCCCAAACATACTTAAAGTAAGAATTTTCTGCTAACTTTTCCATTTTTTTAAAGATTTTATCCCATGCGCTGAAAGATTAAAGATTAATTAAAGATTCCTACTAGAGCTTTTCAAAATTTTTAAAATAGCCAAAAATTCAGATTTTGATTGATGCCACATCTACTCCTTCAGAAAAGTCACCACTTAGGGTTTGTTTTTTTTAAGTTATTTGGTCAGTGGTAGCGCTGGATACATTTTTTTGATTTTCATTTTTTTTTGTTGAAATTAAAAGAAAACAGTAAAAAGGATTTATGAAATTAGTGATTTTTTTAAAACTGTTTTTCAACCAGCTTGACATAGAATCTTAGAAATGCCAGGCTGGAAGGGACCTCAAAAAGTCATCAAGTCCAGTCCCCTGCGCTGAGGCAGAACAATGTAAACCTAGACCATCCCTGACAGGTGTTTTTGTCCAGCTTGTTCTTAAAAACTTCCAATAATGGGGATCCCACAACCTCCTTTGGAAGCCTGCTCCAGTGCTTAACTACCCTGATAATTAGAAAGATTTTCCTAATATCTACCCTAAACCTCCTTTGCTGCAGCATAAGCCCGTTACTTCTTGTCCTACCTTCCAGTAGACATGGAGAACAATTGATCATAGTCCTTTTTATAACAGTCCTTAACATATTTGAAAACTATCAGAGCTCTCCTCAGCCTTATTTAAAGACTAAAGATGCCCAATTTTTTAAACTCTTCCCCATAGATCAGGTTTTCTAAACCTTTTATCATTTTTTTTAGCTCTCCTCTGGACTCTCTCAAATCTGTCCACATCTTTCCTGAAGTGTGGTGCCCAGGATTGGACACAATTCTGCAACTGAGGCTTGGCGCTTGTAGAGTAAAATTCACTCTTGGGCAGAGGCCCAGCACAATGCCTATGCACCCGGTATGTCCCACTTAAGCAAAGTGACTAAAAGTATTGCTAGCATGTGAGGTATCATTCTGTTCCGAGGATGTAAGTGGTGCATAGACTTCAGACTGGCCTGCTACATGACTGTACATTTCACCCATAAACTTGAGTTATAGTAAAAAAGCTTACCGACATTATTCAAATGATGCTTGTAACATGAAGAGAGGCATGTGCCTAAGTGATTTGCTGAATCAGGGCCATAATGACCAAAATATAGAAACACAGCTAGGATACCAAAGATGTAACACTGATGCTTATGGAGAATTGTTTACAAAGCTGCTGTTAGTGGTCCCAGAATAACACTAGAAATTCGCCTGTAATAAGATCCCACAATTCCCTAGCTCACATGTTCAAGTTTCTTGGAAATGAAAATAGTGCTGTCTGGTTGTGAATGAAACAGAAAACTGGATTCCATGCTGTCAAAATATTGCCTGTTCTGGGGGCCCATGGTAAATAAAAAAGCCTCTAGGACCACTTTCTGCTGCAGATCCACCATTGCATTAAATCCTTAACAAGTTTTTGAGGGAAAGGTCATTCATTATTATGCTTTCAAAGTACTTGCCTCCAATAATGTGATCCTATCATTCCAAAATCAGTGATTACTTTGGACAACATATCTTGATATAAACATCATCCCAAATTCCCAGAAAACACAATTTGCTTGTTTGGGTCTTTACAGTCAAGATTTTGATCAATAGCTCTTTTAACATTGACACATCCCCCTCGCCCAGCCCCTGTGAAATCATAAACATGCTGAGATTGATAGGGATATTGTAGTAGTTATTTACACAACACATGAAGTTTGCCAGTACATAAGCATTCATCATTTTTATTCTCCAAAATCATACATACAACAATACTGTTAGAGACATGGGCCTGAATGAAAACAAAAGATCTCAAATTCTAACTGAATGTTGGGGAAGTTCAGATCACCCACAGACCTCTGTGTGCCCAACCAAACCCCCAAGCTGAAGTTCGGATGTGGATCCTAACTTCATTGCATTAATGCTTCTCTGCTCTTGAACCATGCCAGAAAGCAGTTCCTGAACTTTACAGCGTTTCATTCTGGTTTCAGGGGAGCCTAAGATGAGGTGACTTTTGAAAATGTAGGGGAATTTATGGATTCATCTGTAGGATCTGAACTCAACTGCTTCCGGATACGTGTTCAATCTGAAACTTAGAAAATTCAGAAAAGTTATTTAAGCTGCATGCACTGAAGAGAGTTTTTCTGGGCGAATGTGTGTGTGAGAAGGTATAAGGATATTGCCTAAACCAGGCACACAAATGATGAGAATGAATAATGACTCTCATTCTGCTTCTGCTGAATGCAATCCCTATTGTCAAATGCAAAGCGATGTCTACCCACCATAACACAAACCCTCACTTTCTGAGCTGAAATGATGGGCACAGGAAGTATGTTGGGGGCAAGTGAGGAATGGAACATGTGGCCAGAGTGCAGTGTAATCTAGTTATCTTCAGTTGGTGCAAGGTCCCTTAGGGACCACAGCCAATTGGTGCAAATTACAGCAGCCACTAGGCTGCTCTAAGATGCCCCAGGGCTATGACTGGGGCAACATATGAGAGAGTGTAGCTGATTCCCTGACAGTCAGGTTAGGCACAGCAGAGAACCTTGCTCTTTATTTTCAAACAGGTAGATGTCTGGCTGTGGATCACAATTGCTACTAGTGCATTCATAGATTCATAGATTCTAGGACTGGAAGGGACCTCGAGAGGTCATCAAGTCCAATCCCCTGCCCTCATGGCAGGACCAAATAATGTCTAGACCATCCTTGATAGACATTTATCTAACCTATTCTTAAATATCTCCAGAGATGGAGATTCCACAATCTCCCTAGGCAATTTATTCCAGTGTTTAACCACTCTGACTGTTAGGAACTTTTTCCTAATGCCCATCCTAAACCTCCCTTGCTCCAGTTTAAGCCCATTGCTTCTTGTTCTATCCTTAGAGGCTAAGATGAACAAGTTTTCTCCCTCCTCCTTATGACACCCTTTTAGATATCTGAAAACTGCTATCATGTCCCCTTTTCCAAACTAAACAAATCCAGTCATTTGCCTATGCGAATGTGCCTTTTTTGACTGAAAGTAGTTTAAAATACCTTTCCTATTCAATGCAATACTGATAATATTTTAATTCTTTACCAAATGAATCATCCAAACTATTGTACAAAAGATATCAGATCGGTATTTCATGATTTTTCTTCGTGACTACTCCAGAAATTTCTTAATATACAAATGCTATTTCCCTGTAATAACAAAATGCCCTACAGCTGTTCATTATCTCACTTCTTTTTGGTTGGGAATTTCAAAAGAACCTAAGGAGACCAAGATGCCCCAATTCCATTGAATTAATCTGACATCAGTTTGTCCATTCCTTTCCCATTTTGTTTCAATGGAAAAGGTAAATGAAATCCAAGTCCAGCAAGTGCTCTATTAAGCCAAATGTAGTAGTGGGTGAAAAAAAATTCTTGTTTGCTGTGACTTTTGGCTCCTTTTAAATGGAATGCTAACACTCTGCCAAAGACTGTTAAAAATAGAAAATAGCCAGCGTCAAAGCCAGACTCCTGCTTTAATGGGTGGGTGGGGAGAATTTGTAGGCTAATTTATTAATATAACC